CCCTATCTATAATATGTTCGTTCAAGTGTATCATTTTACGGGTAAAAAATTTTGCCGGACGAGTACGTTGCAAATGCTTTCCAGGGACTTTATCTCATTTTTTATGCCAAAATTCGGTACTTAGCCCAAGAAAACAGATATCTTGTCCTTTGCGCGGAAATATTTAACACACAAAAAAGGCTGGGGCCCTACAAAAATTTTTCAGGGGCCCCCAGCAACTCGGGGCCCGGGGCAATTTGCCCCTTTGCCCCCCCCCCCCTCTGGGCGACCCTGGCTACATCGATCCAAACTTGGCCTGGGGTGGAGAAGAGGCAATAATGCAAGGTGTAGGGTACCTGTCAAGTCACAGGCAAGCAAACGGAAAGTGGCCAAAGTGCGATAGAGGAATAAATAAGGACGATTCGCAGTTAATATTAAAGATGACTGGTATATTTTTGCAGGTTGGTTCAGGTAAGAGTGGTTGAATAGTTTCGAGTTGATTTCTGTTGATAACATATTAATTACTAGCTTGATTCTTGAACTTTCTATGTGTTGTTTTATTCAGGTATTTGTTCAACATGTCATAAGAAGTTAAGAGCATTAATGCTAACCAGTCCGCATAAAGCAGAGAGTGTTATCGATCAAATGGATGCGTTAATACTGGTAAGTTCGAATTATGTTATTTGTATTGCGTGTCGAATTTTATACCTGAAACTCTAACTTCAGTTTTCGTGGGAAACCGGGCGGGAAATGAATGCTTAAGAGCGGTTGTCTGTAATAGTCAGGTAAGACGTGTAAAATGAGAAAATTCAAAATCCTTCAAACTTTGTCAGAATGTAGGCCTATATGAAGTATTAATGTTGTGAAAGTTTTATTTCGATTGGATAAATATTTAAGGAGAGAGACGTCGAAATTGGTTTTCCCAGGCCACTTTCGGTTTTCAGAGGTCATTTTACGGCACTACCAAAATCGCTCTATTTTGCACGATAATGGGAATATTTCACAAAATATGATTTTTTTTTATAAATTAGAGATATTTATTGATTAGCAGACGAAATTTAAAGACATTTCTGTGAAAAGTGAATATTTTACAGATTTTCTTAATGTTTTTTTATTTTCGAACCTCTTTATTATAGACCATATTAGACAGCGAATATCTCCATTGTTACATCGATTCAGACAAAAAAATTATAACCAGGTCAAAGAAATATGTTTTCGCTTGATATTGATCAAATAAAATTTTGGGGCAACTCTGAATTGAATTTTTGACGAATTTTTTCGTTACCTCTATTTGACCAGAATAACCGTATGTTCGTATAATCAACGTCAAGTCATGTAGTTCAATAAATAACCAAAGAGATTGTGAAAATCGTTTATTTTTTCAACTAAACAAGCCTAGGCCTATAAAACTACCTTAGCTAAAGCTGTACGATTGTTTAAAAGCATTTAGGTCTATAAATCACACTGCCGGTTAACTGTCGCTTATTAATATTGTTCAGGTATTAAATGCCTATATATAATATAGCCGTCGCCGCTCCAGGTTGGAATCCGTAGGTGTTACGCTGGATATCTCCGGCGTAAAATGTTATTGCTATTTTACGCCATCGGCGTGTGTGCGGAGCCAATGAATGATCGATCACCTGATCATCGGCGGGGCGTAAAACGCCGTAAAATTCGTAAACAACGACGATTGAAGAATTTTCTGATAAAAATAATAATACCAAATTATTTATATCGCCAGTTGGTCATTATGTTTGGCATGATGTTGATTTTTTTAATACTGATCGACGATATGACGAAATAGAAATGATTTTGAATTCTGAAACTTGTATGAAAAAAGTGGAAACACAGAATCACAGATTTCATACCATGTGCTGTTTATATATTCATCAATATTCATCGTTCGTCAAGGTAACTGAAATAAGTTGTTTTTTTATTTACTCTGGGTAATAATACACCTTCTTTTAGGTAATATGAGTCATCTACGTAGTTATATTTTCAATTTTTGTGTTCCGACTATTCATTTAAACTAGTATTGCACCAAAATTTATATACTTTATTGGCGCCTTTATTAAAATTACCTTTTATTGTTTTAATTTTATAGAATATAGATTTTTATACAAAAGATCATTAAAATATAGGCAATATAACTTTCTTTTCAGTTACATGAAAATCAAGGATATATTAAAATTTCTTTGAATGGCTGAAAAAGGTAAGAACAAAAATGAGAAAAATATGTGTAATATAACTATATAGTATAGATAATATGTGTAATATAACAATATAGTATATATATAGAGGATATTTCACGGTGGCGCGGAAATATGAATTTTATTTTCGAGTGGTGAAAACAATATTTTACGAACGAGCGCAGCGAGTGAGTAAAATATTGTTTTCAACACGAGAAAATAAAAGTCATATTTCCAAAGCCACCGTGAAATGTTCTTTTTATTATATGGCCAAACTAAATTTCATCAAGATGTTTTGTAGCTCACCGTACGGCAACAATGTTATGTCTCTCCGCTCGTTTATCGAGGCTAAATAGTCGCTGCATGAAGATCGCCAAATCGGACTTAGTCTTCCTTTTTGTGTTTTCATTTTCATCAGAAAACCTTGCCAAATCAGCAAATGTCGAGAAGTTGCCATATTGTATATTCAAAACAGAAACGGCAAAATGGCGGGAATTAGCGTGGGTCCCGCGCGAGACGTTCCCGCGTAAGATATGATTTCATATTTCACTATAGTGAAATACGGGAAATATCAGTGGCGTATTTTACGGTATTTTACTCATATCCATATAATAAAAGAGTATATTTATTGGTTTAATATAACATAAATAAAATACAGTATTATGTCTTATTTTTAGTGTTAAAATGTGTGACATGTGAATAGGAAACAGCGGGTGCCCATTCATGCAGAATTTGTAAATTGACATGTCATGCAATATCTCCATGCCTGCCTCGTCCCCAGTCGCTTGCTATCAAATAATTAATTAGTAAAAGACGAAAATTAATGGGGGCGCGCCCTAGTCGTAAGTAAGATGCCCTAGTCAGGTCAACCCATACCCCTTTGTCTAATATTAATAGCCCTCTTTAAGACAGTCTCATCTAATAAATAGTGCCCCCTTTTAACTCTAAGAAATTAAGAATTTGATTAAGTTTGTCATTTTTAAATAATATAATATATATATTCAGCCTTAGCACGCACTGATGACACATTTGATGTCGTAATTTGGGATCCTCCACACTGGATTGATCTGGCCATGAGGATGTCAAAGATGGAAAAATCAGTGAGGATGCTTTTTCATATCTCAACAGAATTATCAAGAGAACAATGAAGCTCCACACGAAGTTTAACCGTGGAAAAATGTTTCAACAAGTTAAGTCCGTTGCCAACCATAATGGCTACGGTAAAGATGTTAAATTTAAAGTTCTGTCCCGTACGTGTGGAACCAGGTTTAGTACGTCGCAGTACAGTGAGTTCCTCAAACTCTCTGAGAGCCTTCTTCTGTATATCGATACATTCAGAAAGTATGGCTACGATGAGGATGACGAGTACGAAATCACAGGAAAAGACTTTGTGGTGGATCTTCTTGCTTTGACAGATCTTATGAGTCCAATGGTCGACTTACTAGTCAGTCTTCAATGTTTGTCCGTCCCATCGTGGAAAATCTGCCTTTGGTGGTCAAAAGTCAGACAACGTATCCAGAAATGTATTCCAATTTCATTTGATTCTCCTGACCTTCCATTGACATCAAATAATATAAGAGATATCAAGAAAGGGAAATTTAAGGGAACAAAAGTTGTACCTGGATGGCTCAAATTTGAGAAGAATGTCTTTGAAGAAGTGTCTGATGGGAAGAAAACTACAACAACTAAATGGCGTGCTCGAGATCTTAAGGTCTGCCGAGTGGACTTGGAGGTTTTTCGTGTCGCAATGATTAAGTCAATTGATCTTCGATTTTCTGGTAAATCTGTTAAACGTATGCAGAAGCAAATTGTAGCAGTTGACCTTGACGAGCTAATTTCATTGTGTTGCGGTCACAAAAATCTAACTGCCGTTGTCGTTGATGAGGTAAAGTTTGAAAACTATGGAAAGCAAGAATTCCTGTCCTTCTGGACCTATATTTGCAGTCTTCCTCACATCAAGAATTTATATGGATTGTTCAAAGGGGAACTCAGTCACATTGTGCACCGCAACGTCAAACAAGCCCTTAAATCGATTATTTGGGAGAAAAAGTACCGCGAAATCATGAAGCAATGGTTCAATGTTCTCCCTGATAATGATGGGCAGAATGATGGAATTGCTAATGAACCCCTTTGTGATTTTTCCATTCTTGATGATACGGAAGCTCGCGCTTGTCTTGAACTTGGTGGAAATTGTCTCCCATTACAGAATGTCTATAGAATGGAGTTCCAAAACGGTAATTATTCGTGTTGATTAACCATAATAGCTTTTTGAATATATGTGAATATATTTTTTATTTATTCCTTGTTCAGGAAAGATAGCTTTGACTGTGGTTAACGAAGACAAAATGTATGAGACCATATACACAAATGAAACGGTCTATTCACTTATTGAGCCCGAGGGATGCATTGCTGTGGACATTTCTCTTGGTAAGGGAGGCACTGAGGCTGTAGTGGAAAGCGTGTATTCCGCTATGGGATCGCAGAATCAATTGGGCCCAATTTCGAATGAAACCTTAACATTGAGGTACAGTTCAACAAACTTAGTTTGAAAGATTAAGCATTCGTAAATTAAGTGTAAGATTATTAACTTACTTACTGCGTGATTATTAAACAAATAAACAGCTACTTAACATCCAAATACAATTTAATTTTTGAAGGACAAAAATTAACTGGTGCATGCCAACCGCATTGACGGCCGAGCGAGCAGTGAAGGAAATTGCGAACATATACATCAAAGGCGACAAAGAAAAGGGGCTAAAGGCCCACATTTTGCCTGTTATTCAGAGCGCTGTTCGTGGAAATCGGTGAGTCAATATTGTATATACTTATAATAATAATAATAAAAATGCTGATGTTCTTCACAAGTATTTTAAATTTATATACGTATTGAATTTAACACTTTTGCAGGTATCAGCACAGCAAAGTTATTGACAGCAAGATCACCCCCAAGACTGTCAGATTGCCTTTCCTGCTATAAAAAAACTATAAGTATGAATAATTTCAGTTTTATTCAACAGAATAATACGGATTGTGATAAAACAGTTTGTCTCTTGTGATAATTGTTAATTGATATTAGCCATTTCCCAATCGAGCAGAGGACTGGGTCTAGTCGCTTGTTTGGTCTGTTTGAAGTTTTCCTACATTACTAAAGTTATTTATTGCAGCCTGAAACGCAACAATTATGATAAGGCATCTTTTAATATAATATTTACCTCGCTCACTATAACTTGTTGACATGTTGTCCCTCCAAACGTCCCTTCAAACATCAACTATAGACTCAGTCCTCTGCTCGATTGGGAAATGGCTAATTGTTGATGTTGTTCTAATTTTGGTTGTTACTGGTTAGTCATTGAAGAAATTTATAGACAGTTTCCATACTTATTAATTCTGATAGTGGTGATAGTCCCTACTTCATATACTCTTGAAGTTTGTATAAAAATGAATATAATTCAAGAGGTATAAGATCGAAGTAAAGACCGTGTTTGCGTAATGCTGCTGTAGTTAATGCTGTGTCCAATACATCTCGATTGTAATATTTTAAGGTCTTGAGCTTTTTGGATATTTATTTGAAATGGTACTCTTCATACCGACTGGTCCGGTGATATTTTGCGGCGATTATAAAAATAGAAAATATTTCCGAATGTGGCGTAATTAGTCGGTGTCCACTTGGCGTAACATCCGGCGTAAAATATTGACGGATTCCACACTGGCATTCAAATGTATCTCGGCCATAATGTAAAATGACTAAAATGGTGAAGATGTTTTGGTTGTTTTGCCAACAGGTTATGGGCTTATTATGGCAAATATTAAAATATTTCAGCTGCTACCTGACGTGTACGACGTGTTACTTGGCGTAACTAATTCTATCGTGATAGTGAATATCTCCACATGAATGACGAAGGCATTTCTGCATGCATGATGTCAAAGTATGATACAAGGCCATGCTGTGCTACACTATATTATGGTGATGGCACCGATATCAAATTACCATTGGATCGACATGAGAACCTGACGTATAAGCTGTTCTATATGCATCCAGAAATGTGTGTCTGTGACAAGAAAATACAAGCTTTTTTGAACTGTATACTGTAAACCTCTGAATATAATGCTCACCTCATTCCAAATATAAGCCCCCCCCCCAAATATAAGCCCCCCTGAATATAAGTCCCCTGAATATAAGCCCCCTGAATATAAGCCCAGTATCCCACTACGTTATTTAACATTGACATTGTCTTTTAATATAGCAGAGAACGATATTTGAAACACTGTCATTGTCTTTATAGCTTACTATGTTAAGTTATTAATAAATGTTTATTTTCCTGTTTATGACTGACTTGTTTATTACTAACACAATTGATCATCCATGTATAAGGCCTCCGTGCATATAAGCCCCCCCCCCCTAAGCCCATCAAAAATCACTTTCAAAAGAATATAAGCCCAGGGCTTATAGTCAGAGGTTTACGGTATTATATATCCCATATTTTAACAATAAACACATTACCTTTTATATTATATTATATTACATTAACATATATACATTGATCACATATAAAGTCTTTAAATGACAGTACACTGTGTTTGTAATTATAATTACCATAATTACTTGTGTCGAAAGTAAGAAATGAAGTGAACAAATCCATCTATATTTGTTGAAAATTTCTTGCAGTGGGTATCTTCCATTTGTTTTTCATGCTTCACACTGTGTATCTTTGAACATTTAATCAGCAACTAATTATAGGCAAGGATATATTTACTAGCTCATTACTCCATATTACCAGGTACATAACATGCAAATTATACATCAACCTTGCAATCCAGGCTTTAACCCCTGCATGTTTGGGAAGGGAGAGGAAGGAATGGAGGTACTGTAATTTCTATATTTAGCCCTCTTCTCTTCAAGCCCCTCTCCAATAACCCCCCCCCCCCCCTCATTTGGATACAAAAATAAAAAATAAATAAGCCCCCCTCCTCTTTTAACCATGCAGCCCTCATTCAATTTCTTAAAATCATGAAATATATTGCATTTCTGCAGTATTTTAATAAAATATAGTACAACGGTAACTCTGAATATGGACATTTTGTAATGGTAACCAGACTTATTGCATATATTTAGAACTAGTGCCCCCTCAATGATGCTTAGGAAACAATACACAGGAGGCTTGATAGTTGATATAGAAATTAAAGTAGTTATTTGATTGAAACTGGTAGCTATTTCAATTCTACTGTCAGTATCTCCTTTTATATATAATTGGATTAATTGCCAATATATTCACATAGTATAATAGTTTGGAAATGGAATCAATACTTGTATATTTTTAGCAAATGAGCATTGTTATTGATCAACAATGACTCTTATTGCTATAAACAACATTGTTTCACATAGCACATACAGTAGCAACAGAGAAGGAAACATCTGTATTTAAATTCACTACTTATTTTTATCCAGACACAAATTGATGTAAAAATTGTTTCAGGTTTGGCTTAGTTATAGCCTTACATCAGGCTATTCCATTTAATATCCATACCCCCCCTGTTGAGGATCCCTGAAATTCTTCAGGGGTAAAGGGTTTTGAGCTTGGAATTCTTCAGGGGTAAAGTGTTTTGAGCTTGGAATTCTTCAGGGGTAAAGTGTTTCGAGTTTGTAATTCTTCTGGGGTAAAGGGTTTTGAGCTTGGAATTCTTCAGGGGTAAAGGGATTTGAGCTTGGAATTCTTCAGGGATAAAGGGTTTTGAGCTTGGAATTTTTGGAATTCTTTGAACAGGGGTAAAAGGTTTTGAGCTTGGAATTTTTCAGGGGTAAAGGGTTTTGAGCTTGGAATTTTGGAATTCTTCAGGGGTATAACCATGAAAAACATGTATCCTCGACAGGGGGTGTACGGATATTAAATGGGATAGCCCATCATGCTGTCAAGTGGCAATCACTTACAAAGCAAATCTATAACCAAATGTTTTACAACCTGAGGGTTGTAAAAAACACCTGGCATCTTAAATTTATATAGGTCGAAATATATACAAAGACCACGGGCTACAACATGTTGAGTGTTGACCATTGACCATAATGTACTGTATTGTTTAAAGCTTCAAGTTTTTAACAAAAGCTGTCACTCCAAAGTCCTGGCAACAATATGTCAATTTAACAAAACGACAACGTGTGCGATGATTTCATTTAGCCAATTCTTTCATGGTTATAATGAATATACTCGTACTGTAGATCGATAAAAAGTCATTCATAAATACCATGCCATTTTGTAAGTATATACCCAACGTCCCAATACTTTTTCATACGATTAATATCATATCCTTTGATTTATATCGTTTGATTTCGCATTCCAAATCTGATAAACATTGATAATTCTCTCTTCGCGTATGTCCACGCGTAATTCTCGCAAAAAACACGCATTAATTGTGTCGGCAGTATTGATGATCACGGCAGCCAATCAAATAACGATTTCGATTCGATTTCCCAAGAGTCATGCCACAACCTAACCCGCGAACAGGCATACTCTGGGAACGAGATTGAGTTAACAACAAAATTCATGACCAAAGACACCAAAAACGGATCAAAATTGTATTTTAAAATACTCAAAACGCAGAAAAATTGGGAATCGACTCGCATTACCTCAATCCCATTCCCATTTTTGAGGACTTCTTTTCCCATTCCCAGTGGCCAAATCCCACTCCCAGCAACCCAAATCCCATTTTCCCAGTCTAAAAAAAACCTCGTTCCCAGGCTCTTTGCTCTTGGGAAGCAAAGACCCTGGTCGGAGCTGGTCACGTGAACCCCCAGATTTTGGGGGTAAATTGAATTTGACCTCAGGGAGGGGTAGTAGAGGAGTCTGTTAGTAGTAATGATAATCATAGTTTCAAAAAAAATGGGGGGTGTGTGAACCGACTTGATTTAACTGGAGCTTTGAATGAAAAGTGAAAGTATCGCGGGCTTCGATGACAGCATCCGCTGGCTGTACGGACGGGGGGGATAATTACAACGGGGCGTTCCCCTTGCGCGACAGTGCTCGCCGCGTTCGTGATTGACAGGTGACGTGCTTGCGTCGCGTGCGCATGCGTGGCGGAGCTCCGAACCCAAAGCCCTGGTCGACCGAAGTGGCACCCGTTCGAATTTGCCGCCGTTTTTCAAAGTGCGTGTGTGACGTCATGAAATTTCCTTCGTGCTACCACACGCAATCGTCGTATTTCGGTGTTTCCCTTTGAAAAATGATGTTTTTCAAACAGTTATTAATAAATATTGTTATTTTTTAATAACCCATCAATGCGTAATAGCGTTTTTTAATATTTTAAAAAATGCCACCAGCGTTTTTCAACATAACAACGGTCGTCAAGCATTGTTTTATATAAAATCAATTTGTATTAGTAATATTTACAGAAAAAAGTTACTTGGTCGGTATAGAGATAGTTAAAAGAAATGTTGCAATATAAAAATGTCATTATGAACTAGAGTCACTATTATTTTGTTTCTTAGATAATGTATGGAGTACATATTCGGCAGCGTTGATTTTTTCCAGAAGTTCACGTTTTTCTTGGATAATTTTTAACGCTTCTGTACGTACGTCGGCGAACAGTTCGTATGTTTGATATTCGCGACCAGTATTTACGATGATATCTTCGGGTATTTTCGTTAAAATCTTTCGACTTTTCTTGCACTTGCCACGCGTATCTGGAAGCGTAAGCTGTCTTCGTGTTAATTGCAACGCAAGCATATCGTTGAATTCCTCGTCCATTCTGATAAGTTGCTGGTCGTTTGTGGGTCGACCACATTCACGCTTTCGTTTCCTTGCCGGGGCCCGCTTCTCTTTTTTCTCGTCTTCAAACGATTTTCGTGCTGCAGCAATATCTTTACCGCGATTTACTTTTACAGGCGCCGTGAATACTTCGGGGATATTCTGTGCTGGAATTTGGGGTATATTCACATCCACCGCGTTGTTCGCTATCATGTTGTCAAGATATGTGGTCAGGGCAGGGAATACGTCGGGTTCGGGTTTCGATGATTTTTCTTCTTCAATAACAATGGTTTCGTTTTGTTCAACGGGCGTCTCGAGCGTGAATGCGTTAAACTGACCTTCGACGATGTTGACATGTTTTTTCAACTTTGCTAATTTAACAGGTAGTTGTGGAAAGTCAGCGGTTAAAACTTTACTCGGACTAAATACCGATGTAGGCGAGGGTACTGAAATCTGTTGTGGTGATGGCTGATATGGGTAGGAATTGATTTGTTGTGGTGGCGTTTGGGATTGCGATGTCACAGTATTCACTTGCGGTTGCGGTGGAGTTTGGTATTGAGGTGTTGTGTTGATTTGCTTTGTTGAAGCTTCATTTGCCGTATTGATTTTCCCGTGTAGGTTCCATTTTATGAAATTTAATTCAAAAATGTTATCGGGGAATTCGGCGGCGTAGGCTGTGAAATTCCAATAGTCTGCAAGTAGCGGTGTTAAATTCGTGGTCTCCGTGATGACTATTCCTGACAGGTCTAGAAATTTGTAAAAAGCTGGATCCATTTTGCGTAGATGTCGATTTTTCGTTGCTTCGTGTACGAGTAGTTGTAGTAAAATGTGTTAAAATTATACGCGCTAGGTTTCCAAGTGTAAACGATGTGTCTAAATATGGTCAGGGTGTTTCTAACCTTGTGACCATATTTGGCAGGGTAGATTTTGCGAGAACGAAAATATGTTGATGTGTGTTTATTTGCACCTAGCAACAGGGAAATAGTGAATGAAAAGCCTATGACTATATATGGGTGCGTGGGTATACTGTGTGTTTATAGTGTGTTTTATTCTAGCATCTAGTAAATAATGGGTAGAAAATATATTTTTTCACTATATATGCGTATACCCATATATGTCCATGTAGTTAATAGCTGGTGTCTGCTATGATGAGGGTTCTTATAAGGGTGATTTTAAATAGTCTACAACGTATATTTGATAGCGAAATGAGTTTTGCGTGTAAGCTTTTACTCTCATTGTTGCTATTATCTTTTCTCACCTATTTGATTATTATTATTTATTACACGGACGTGTCTATAACAGATATAGAAGGGGTATTGCGTGAAACATATAGCTGTACAGATGAATATGTCGAGGTATGATCGTTTTTGCCATAGCTTATTTTCCCAATTGAAAAATTTGAATAAATCCGAGGAGAGTGTTACAATTTATCATAGGGATCATCTTTTTATTGTCGATGCGTATGTTAGTCCGTCTCCCGATTATAGACGTTGTTATATGAGAGTTGTTTTACAAAATCAAAAATGTCTTGTAAGAGAGTCGAAGATGGATTTAAAATATAATTATCAAGAGAGAGACGGTTGTTTTGATCTACAGTTTTATTTTCCCGGTCAATGGGGTCATTTATGTGGTATTTTTCATGAAGAATGTTATAGAGCCGTACAACAATATTATAAGGATGCTAGCAAGTGTAGTCTAGAGGGTGTCCGCATAAAGATTTTTCAACGTTGTGAGCGCGTTATGGTTAGCGAAATGTTAATAAAACAACAAGTGGAATATTATAAGAAGACAAGTCATTATACACTAATGGAACTGGATCCAAAGGGTAAAGCTAGACCGCAAAAATGATAACAAACTTTGTTTATGTTTCAGCTTTGATGAGAAAAAAGATATTTATGTTCATTTACCCTGCGATACAGTTGATGATGATGAACTCTTGCGAGTATTTCAGATTATTGCCGCCGATTATAAGTTTTATGAATTTTACATGCGTGTGGCTAGAGAGCAACAAGTACAGTTAGCGGGTGGTCGTTTATGGCCGACTGTAATTACAAATGACGAAGTGAAAGCGTTGCCAAGTTTTTATATTTATCTTATAGCTGTGGAGCAATGCGAGAACGGTGATCGATTTATGACGATCGGGATTATACACTGGTTGTTTGGGATTTATGCAGATTTGGAGCTGTATTATCGCGTCTATCCCGAATCGTTTAAACATCAACCCGAGTGGAAAAACACACCGATCTATTTACCCTCTGTCACGTTTGGGGATATCGATTTTAATCTTGATTATACCGAACACCAACAGTTGAGACCTAGTGAAGCGCGAAGTTTTGTGGCCGGTGTCGTCGATACATTAATTACATTTACATGTGAAAATTGTGAGAAAGCTTATGAGAGTGTAGCCGTCGAGTTTGAAAAAGATCATGGAATGTGTGTATCAAAACGTTTGATACAGGTTATGCTATATCATCAAAAACTGGTTCATCGCGTACAGGATTGGGTGATCAAGAGTTGCGGGTGTTCACGAAACGAACAAGTTTGCCATTGTGGATTGTACACGCAACTCGATATCGTGAAGTGTAAACAGTTGTACTTTAAAGACGCAGGATTATTGGTCAGCGATGCGGTGTACTTTACCTCCCCGGGATAAATATGGGTGGATATTATATCATAAATTGGAAGCGTGGAATTTTCCATTTGGACAGATGCGCGAACTAACGGTATTTGCCTACGATCAAATATATTCAAATGTCCTGTATTGGGCATATGTAACAGAAATGCATAAAACCTATCATGGTTACCTGTATCGCATGACATTTCGAACATTAAACGGTTTTGCACATATTCATATGACATTTGATTTAAAATATTTACCGACTATAAATAGTAGTGGACATGTTATGTTTCAGACGATGGGCGTTCAAAGTTAAGGCATTCAAAAATGTATAGAAGCGGTGATTGTTAATAATTTTTTAGATACACAATATAAGACAATTTTAGAAAATATCATAACATATATTAGAGAACATATTGTAATATATCGTACTGTAGGTGATGCACATATTCATACAATACGTACGGCTATAGCCAGGATATATAAAACTGTACTGTCTTCTGATTTTATACGGCGAATACATGATCAAGTAAAGAGTATGTTGAAAAATATGTATTGGTTAGATAAATGTACTTGTTTATGTATGACTCTAAATAATTGTTGTATATGTAAAAAGACAAATTTGCACTTTGTAAGCTTACAATGTCAAGATATAATGTTAGATTTTTAAATAAAAATATACAAAAAAACTGTGTGTCTTTCAAAGGAGTGTGTTAGTTGTCTATTGATATTATGAGAGTATGGAGGGGTTATTTCAAAGAAAGCATAACCAATTGTCAAATGAAGAAGCGGTTATGGTTGAAAAAAACAAAAAAGAAATAGCGTCTCGTATTACACACGTGATTGATTGTGAAGCGTATACATGTAAGAAAAAAACATTTCTTCGTGAAATATCGGTCTATCGGGTAAAGACAGGCGAGTGTTCCTCGTTTCAAGTGTTTATGCCGTTTTTACCGTTTAATGAACGCGACTATACAATTGACTATCAAATAAAGAAAATTCACGGTCTACCGATTGTACATAGACGTTTAACGGATGATTTTTATACACTGAAAGAATCAACAGCATTTTTAACAGATGAATTTATGTGCAAGGCGGATCTAGTGGCTTACAAGGGTGGCGATATTGAACGTATTTTGTTAAATAATATGGGTGTGCGTTGTATTAATCTTGAAATATTGACATGTCCAAAATACATAGATCTGTTGACCATATTTGGTCAACAGCAAGAATGTTGCCCCTATCACCTGGGTAACCATTATCATTGTTCAAAACATGGGGTAAAAATGTTTGCCGAATTTGTGTATTCGCTATTGTGACGATGTCGGTTGTATTAGATGCATTATCGTATCTTTTATTGAGACAACCCTATAATCCGATTTTATGGGAGTTGTATTCGACCTGTACGTATTTACGATGGTATAAACCCTTATTGAATGTTAAAGACAGAAAAATAAACAATTATGTTAAAGTGAAAAAGTTTTGGTTGAAAGGTGGTTTTGAGACCGTACGCGATTTCATCGCCGTAGATGATAAAACGGATGCGGTAGAAGAGGTTCGCAGCGACAATCCCAATACACCCGATCTTATGCGTACCAAATCTCCGCGTATGGCTGTCGTTGCCGTCGATAGTGCAGCGGGGAAACAATTCTATAGCATACCAGTGGAATGGATTTCACGATTCGCCATTCGTGAGGATGGTATGTTTTTGCTGAAATCGTTCGAGTTTTGCTGCCGTGAAGTTCTCGCACGTTCAACGACACAGTTGGTACGTTGTCAGTCTCTTACAGTAGTCGACAAATATCATGTAGATAAACATTATTTTCATGTGGGTTGCGGGGACTGTGATGCTGGTGAAAATTCTCAGATAGAAGTATTTGCCGCTACACACATGTATGTGGGTCTAAAAAGTATCATGCACCATTTTGACACCGGACTATATGTGAACATGTCTGAAATGCTGATTGCTCTTGAGTGTAACGAGGAAGTATTAACATTTTATCTTAAAGAAGTACTTTATGAAGAATCACACATAGCCGTCATATATACCCCTGTATTAAAAAAGGGTACGTATATTCGTAAATATCTTGCACATATTGTAGTATGTAAAATGTGTATACGTTATCTTGAAGATTTTTTAACCTTGTTAGACCAGAGTGTGGAAAAGCACCCCTTTTCTACATATGATGAGTTGGATTGCGACGGGTATAACCGTCTCGGCATTCCTGTGTTGAAATATATATTAGATGCTGATTTCGATAGTTTAGCAGCGAAAGCATATTATGGGGGTTATAGATGCGTTGCACTTAGAAGGACCCTGTAGCTACGTGGATTTGTTTATGAATACGTATGTTGAAAAACATGTATGATTTTAAGAGAATATTTTATCAGTTGTTACAATTAAAAAGTTTGTACGTATTAAAATATGACGACGTAATAATAGGGTATGCCCATATAAGGTCATCATATAATTTGCTTCAATTGGCACAATTTTTTAATGTGTGTCATTTAAAACAACGACATTATACGGATTTTATTCATTCTTTAAAATTTTTAATAACAATACGACAAAACGAAGAGATCGTTCTGGCTCTTGTGACAACATAATGGCAACGTCGACAAAAACACATTATTTTGAAACATTCGCAAGTGAAATTAGAGTTGTTGATTTTTTGAAAAAAATGTTAGACGATGGTGAGATGACTTATTATCGTTATATCGTCTTAAACGAAAACCATTTTTGGTATGCTGAAAGGCAGGAATACGGTATAAGAAGGGAAACGGTTTTTATGAGTAGAAAATTGCATGGTGTTATACAATTTAAGGAACGCACCAGCCGTAGAACGGTACGTCAGATGTTTGAAGGTCAACACGTTTATTTGTCAGGATTGGTTACCGTGAAAAGACCCGTTGTAGTAATATTGATGCGCTTGTGGGTGCTTTGCGAATGTTACGGTCAACATTACCAGGAAACAAAATGTTCTAATACACCCATTCGTTTTGGCGGTCGAAAAACGGAAAATGAAGTACATTATATGAAACCTTATATTAAAGCATTATTACATTATAAAGAGTCAGATAATGATGATTTTTGTTACCGTAATTTAAACGGTGCAAGACAAATATGTAAATATAAACTAATGTTAGAAAAGAAACTGCAAAAACGAACATGACCAAATAAGGACATTGACATTCTATATAGATTTATAGCTGTAGCTTTATTTTTTAGTTGTGATGATGTTGTCTACGCAACAACATCTATTATGGCGTTGTGCAAAATTTAAAAAATGAAATAAATGAATTAATCAATCAATCAATCAAATCAATCAATCAAAATTATGAATATTTGCAGTCTGCATTTATTCACGTATAAACGTGTAAAGTTTAAAAAAAACTACACTGCTTTCATGTTACGTTTTTTAATAAATTATAAATAGGGGGTGTGATGGCATCAATGTTTAGTAGCGGTAAGCGACTGGTTAAAAAAGCAAGTCGCGAACGAGGTCGATGCCTAAAAGAGAACCCGAGAGAAAAAACTTGTAGAACACGTCGTATATAACGCATCGGTGGAAAAAAAACACGTCATTTATACGCATCGGTGATAATACAAGAGAATTAACAAGATATAATAAGACGGAATAAAAGGTATGTAAAATTTTTTTATTGATGATATTGATAGACTACAGGCATATGATTAATAGGTTTTCGTCCTCCTCCTGGGTGTAAACGACCACCTTCTTGTACTCGACGTGCACTTGTTTGTTTTCGCATTATTGCTCTTGTATTAATACGTCTTGTTCTTGCTTTTACACGTTTTGCTTTTTTTATCTGTCGTGCGCCAAATTTTTGCCCTGCCACTACAGCATTTGTAACGGCACGCTGTAATAAATCGCCAGGGTTTGAAACAATAGGGGCGGCTGGCAACCCTCCGCCTCTTTGATGTCTGCGAATGCGCCGTGGTCTACCTGCATAGGGGTTAATACCCGGATTTATTCTACGTTCCCAAGACATTGTTATCTGTAGCGGGTTATGAAGTATGAAATGGTTTTTTACAAATTACATATGTTTTTATAACCAATAGTTTTCCCCATAGTTTGTAAAAATTTCCGAATGCGGGGGTATACTTCGTGAGGATTTTAATCGAAACATTTGATTGCCCCGCATGTTGCTATTATAATGAAATTTGGAATTTCTAGCATCGTTTGCAAATCGAGCCGCTGCATCGGTTGTATGATTTGCATCAACGCATAATCCTTTGCGATTGCATATGGTATATTTTGCCGTATTATCCCCATATTTTTTATCAATTTGTTCACGCGTGCGTCGACGACCGGTGTATTTTGAAATTACACGACCTGTGGGTATGGGTTTTTTCCAACTAAATAACCCTTTTCCAGCATTTGAAATTTGGGAAGGTTTAATTCGTACATTATCTTGTTTTGCTAAATGGATCCAACATTTAGACGTATGTGCGGTGCGTTTACGGCATCGTTTTTGTAATAATGTGTCGCTAATACATTGTTTTGATTTTCGAATACTTTGCTGATATTGTTTTTTTCTTAAATTAGTTACAAATCGACCGTTCATTCTGCATATACAATAGTTACGCCGATATAGTCGTCGTCCCAATGTCGTTCGATATATTTGATGATATTTTCAATTTTAGTCACCACGTCTGGCGGTACTACCGATTCAAATTGAAAGTAATCCAATCTGCGACGTAACGTCTCTGGATCCACTTTATATATAGCATCTGTATCGTGGGTGAAAGCTGCAAACGCTTCTTGAAATATGGTAGGTGTAAAAATAATGGATTTATCATTGTCGCATACTTCGTACCCTATTTTATAGAGGTCGTAATCACCTCGACGTGCTTCATTTAGCACATGTACAGAGATATGTATTTCAAACTCACGACTCATTCTTGATTTGAATGTTCCCCGTTCAACACGCTTGATTGAAATGGGGAAAAAGTGTTTTAAAGGCGGTGAAGATACACCGTGGGTAACGTTTAATTGTAATATGGTGCAGATTCGTGAAAGTAATAATATTGAGATGGATTTTACAGATGGTGGTGACAGCGAAGACGACGCTATAAAAACGACGAATTGTTGCTGCATTCGATGGCATCGTCGAACGGTGAAAAAAGAAAACGTGAAGAGGTCACCGATTTTTGGGGTGAAAATAAAAAACAAAGGGGAGATGGAGAGGCCGAAAAGAGACGAACCATAGCATTGGTGAGAAAATTATTTAATGAGAAAGATAGAGAGAAACGGGAACAGAATATTGCAACAATTGCACAAATGGTTGTCGCTAGAAATGATAAACAATCGCAAATAAATAAACTAGCCGCCATGGTTAAGAAAACAAAAACTTTATATAAAGAAAAACGTAGTTATAATATAGAGGATCGCGACCTAATAGAGTTAGCCGCACTTGTGCAATCGCAAACTAATGTGACCGTACCAACGAAAGCTTTTTCGGTGCGTCAAATACGCACACATCAACGTTTCGGTTATACCGAATATATATATGATGTAAATGTGGGTAGTACTCATATGGGGAGTTTACCGGATTTTTTGCTAAATTTACGACGTGTATTTGATTATTTAATAAATACCATGTTGTATCATGCTCAGACGAATACGGATAAGGCTAGATTTTTTATCTCGAATGCCCCCCGCACCCCTTTTTCTACAAGCGTATTGACCGTTACGGATTTTACAACCGAAATGTTTTTTAATATTTTCAAAAAACACATGCAAAGTAATGCAGAAGAGATTATAAGTAATGGGTGGAATACGACCATCAGTTTGTACATTTTCCCAAACAATTATGTTTCGCGTAAGAAAACGTCACGGGCAAAAAAGAAAACAAAACAAAATAAATTATATAAATATTTTGGTAAAAACACCGCAGAGTCTGGTAGCGGAAAAAAATAACCCGGCGTTAAAACATGGTCGCGAAGTGCGTCATGGTGTTTTTCAAATCGGTGTTTCAAATGTTAAAAATTGTTGTCTGGCCTTAGCGCTTCTAGTGGGTAAATCTTATCTGCACAACAATTCTAACGCACACAAACTGAAACGTAACAGACACATACTTCTAAGTAACATCTATACAGACGAAGCTATTACAAACGTGTATACAGTTAGCCAATTACCCGTTGGCATCCCCGTACGTATTGATCAATTAGGCACAGTGTATGAGAAATATTTGAAACCCGACGGGATAGATCTGGTTGTTTTTTCTAAACAACAAAGCGACAATATTGTCTACGATTCAAGATTAGATGTGGATCAACGTCTACATCGTGTTACAAACGACGTTATTTTTTTATGGCTAAATGATAATCATTATGATTTGGTGACTTCGCCGTACACGTTTGCGCGGTTAAATTTGGGTACGTTTTGTTTCTCATGCATGTGCTATTTGCGTCGACACGAACGAAAGAATACACACGTGTGTGTCTTAAGTACGACCTGTCATCGTTGCTATAGTAACACGTGCAAATGTGAAAACATGCCTGGTTTTGTACAACAGTGTACGGAATGTGATGTTATTTTTTCCAATCCCGATTGTTTTACCAAACATTTAACACAAAGAGTGTTTAAAACATATGTCAACGGCATGTTGACAACTGAGACGCCGTGTCAACGTTTCTTTTTTTGCGTCGTATGTTATAAAACGGTAATGCGGAAAACCATCACAACAGGCGGGAAAAAATATACAAAGCACAAATGTGACGAGATGTTTTGCACACATTGTAATAAAATGAAAAAAAAAGACCATCACTGCTATATTAAAACGCTTAAGCAACATAAAAATGAAACACGACCCACTTTGTATTTCTATGATTTTGAAACGCGTGTGGATGAGGGAGATATTTATATGATACCCTTTTATTGCGTTGTACAAAAAGTATGCGATGTTTGTGACGAAAAACCGTTTGTGAAAAATTATGAACATTTTCTACCGCATCCTAGCGAACCGTTTACCGATATTTCCGTTGAACCGGTACCCTGTTGTGGTTATCGACAATATGTTTTTGAAAAAAACAATGATGATATCGTGTCGGATCTCGTCGATTTCATGATGACGCAACCCAAAAATAGTGTGTGGGTGGCACATAATGGCGGACGATTTGATAGTATTTTTCTAATGCGTGAATTACTAGTCCAACGTAAACTCGTACCTACCGCGGTGATGAACGGGAGTAAGGTTATGTCTTTGGAAATCCCCGAACGTAATTTGAAAGTAATTGATAGCTACTTATTTCTTGCAATGCGTTTGGCAAAATTTCCCGAAGCTTTAGGGCTTGAAAACGTAACGAAGGGCTACCACCCCTATTTGTTTACCGATTTGAATTATGTCGGCGACATGGTGGGGTTAGAATATTTTGAATTAGCCACAGAGGGAAGTGAGGAACGCAAAGCTTTTGATAAGTGGTATAGACAACAGCAAAGTAAAACATACGTGTTCCGTGACGCGATCTACTATTATTGCCGTATGGATGTGGATATTTTAAGACAGGGTTGCATCATATTCTCCAGACTCATCCATAGAATTACAGGTGTATTGCCCTTTTATGACCACACGTGTAATACTGTGGCGGGTTTAGCTTTAAAAATATATCGCAAACATTTTTTAAAAGAAGAACAAATCGGTCAGGTTCCCGCATCCGGTTACAGCGGTGTGAATATTAACCAAAGTGCAATTGCCCTATGCTGGTTAAAAGATGTTGAAACTATGCTGGATGAAAGCAATCTAAAATTGTGTAGTAAGCTTAGTGTCGGCGGTGAACGACGTATAATGAATCATTATGTTGATGGGTATTGTGAAGAGACCCAAACCATTTATCAATTCCACGGTTGCTTTTATCACGGGTGCGACCGTTGTTATGACGGCGCATGTTATAACAGTGTTTTATCTACAAAATTTTACACACTTTTGGCTAGCACCCAACGTTTATCGCGAATGTTTCGACAAGCAGGATATACCGTTGTCGAGAAATGGGAATGCGATTATCGTAATGATGTCGACATGACCCCCTACCGTTTAAAACAAATGCGCTTAACAATGTTTTTTGAATTCATACATATGGAACCGCGTGATGCGTTGTTTGGGGGGCGCACATCTCCCGCCACATTATACTATGATATGCAGCAAACGGGTTTACCCGCCATGTATTTTGATGTATGCTCTCTTTATCCGTATGCGCAGAAAAAATTTCAATATCCAACACAACATCCGGTCATTGTTAAAGGTAGCGCCTGTCAAAATATGGACATCAATCAAGTGTTTGGTTTAATTAAGTGTAAAATTTTCCCCCCACACACCTTTTGTTTCCCGTGTTACCGTATCGTTCGGAGAAATTAACATTTCCTTTATGCCGCACCTGCGTACAACGTCAACAAAGTGAGACATGTCGACACAATGACGAGCAACGTGCATTACACGGGACATGGACTAGTGTGGAAATTCAAAAAGCTTTACAATTAGACTACCGCATTTTAATTGTTTATGAAATTTATCATTATCACAAACGCGAAAAAATATTCGATCAATATGTGAATACGTTCATGAAGCTTAAGCAAGAAAGTAGCGGAATACCCAAAAAATGTCTCGATCAAGACGGTTCGATAGTACAAGAAAAATTACAAAAATATATCGACGATTATATGGCACATGAGGGTGTCGCTTTGGACGCGAGTAAAATGACCTACAATGTGGGTCAGAGAACGGTAATGAAAGCGCTTTTGAATTCTTTGTGGGGTAAATTGGCGCAAAACGAAGATGTTACGGTCGTGTCGTTCTTAGAGGACATGGACGATTTGTTAGAATTAGTAAATGATCGTACGGTCGAAGTGACCTCTTTAGATTTTATAAGCGATAATATTGCACGAACAACACATCGCAAAACGGCTAGTCTAACACCGTTGCCAAATCGTAATGTGATTATCGCCTCATTTGTCACAGCGTATGCACGTTTAGAATTATTAGAATATTTACTTAAATTAGGCGAAAATGTTTTGTACTACGATACAGATTCTGTGATTTTTATAGAGGATAGGGCCAACGGTAAATTTCTTGAAACCGGCGAATATTTAGGGCAAATGACCGACGAATTAATTGAAAAAAAAACCAGCGCAAAATGGATTACACAATTTTGCTCGACCGGACCAAAATCCTATTCCTATCGTACAAATACCTATACGCGTTATAATGACGACGGTAGCGAAAGCAAACAACAAGATGAAATTGTGCATGTTAAGGGCTTTTCACTAAAAGGACCGACCAAAAAATTACTAACATTCGATAGTATTCGAGAATGTATAGAGGATCCTACTAAAGAAATTGAAATTACTTATCGAGAATTTACGCGTGAAAATACGCAGAGTATTTCGGTACAACAAAATACAAAAAAATTTAAATTCACTTTCGATAAGCGAGTTGTGCATGGCGATTTTACAACAACGCCTTTCGGTTATCGGTAAATTGCTTTTTTATACCTTTTTAATGACAATATGCGGGCCCACGCAATCGGGTAAAACAAGCGTAATGGTAGACATAATAAAAAACATTGACGAAATGATTCAACCGACACCAGCCAAACTACTATACTTATACACAGCTGAACAACCAGTATATGGGGAGATTACAGATCATGTGACGGCAAACCATGAAACATCTGCACTTAAACGTTGTGAATTCTACGACTGTCCACGATTGGGTATACCCACGATAGAGGATATAAGGCCGATGTTGGGTGAACGCACCCTACTTGTTCTCGACGATCTAATGATCTTAGCATTGTCAACTAGGGAAGGTACTGAAAATTTGAACAATTTAGCGGTACGTGACAGCCATCATTTAAATCTCTCTATATTTTTTGTGTGTCAAACTTTAAATTATGGAAATGGAAAATTACGAAGTATGCGGACGAATAGCATGTATCATCTTTTTTTTAATAATCACACTGATACTCGAGATATTGAATTGGTTGCAAGAAATAAAGGCATCCGTCTACCGACAATACGTAAAATATTGGCGGATGTGGGTAAAAAACAATACGGTTATGTGTTGTTTGACGGATGCCCTCATGCACCGGCCAATGCACGTGTTCGAACGGGTATATTGCCCAATGAATGTACAATAATTTACAATACAGAAAAACAATTTGTATAAATTTATTAATAAAAAAATTTTACATGTATTGTGGAAATGCTTCTAAATATGATTTACAAATTTGACCCCCCGCCTTATTACATTTACCCTTATAGATATTAAACATAGCCGGGTATTTAGCATATACTAACTGTTTTAATTTACTTTCATTTTCTAAAAGTTCCTCTTGTTTAACCGAAAATTCACCGATAATATCCACGTTGTTATAGAAACCGTGTAAAAATAATAAACACCATGCACCACAGGTTTTGCTAATATACGATTGACGTTGTAACTGCGTATATACAGAAAAGTTACAATGTAAACTACGGAAATAATCCAACCAGTATTTACGACCGAAAAAACGAGGAGTTTTACCAAAACTATCAAAAAATATAATATTTTGATGGTCTTTTACAACACACACCCAATGTGTACCGGGTTTATCGTCCTCGTCGGTATTCCACACCCAACAGCATTGATTTTTGATATTTTCGGATATATATTTGCAGGATAACATCCCAGGTAATGGGTATTGATAACAGAATTTTCACGACCCAATTTATCAATGTCGTCTGTGTTTAAAAATTTACTTATAAAACAAATTAACGACGTCATTTAATTGGAAAGATACCCTCTTGGTTTTTTCCCCTTGCTTTTGCTTGGTCCTTTATCTTTTGCTAAGGGGGTAGGTATGCGTGAAGGTCCCGGTTTGCTAGCCTGTCCGCTTTGATTCAACATTTGTTTGTATTCTTCTTTAAGGGTTTTATTTCGAATATACGAAATGGGCATATTTGTTTTTTTTAATAATTTTAGCACACGTTGTCGATTATTATTGCTTAAATTAGGTTGAGTATGTATGTTGTTTCGTGTTAAATCTTCCATCATATCTTGATAGGGTATATTCAAATCAGAGTCGCCGTATTTAATGCCGCCTGTGGGTATCGGTTTTACATTATGTTTTTCGAAATGTTGCTCTATTTTTGCCGCCGATGCGGCAACTGTGCCGGGTTTATGACCAGCACCCGAACCACCGGCCGCTGGTGGGGGATTTCCCGCTGGCGCAGCATCATCATCTACAGGTTGATCAAGACCAACTGATTTTCGATAACTATCCGTTTTACGTAGATAATTAATGATGTCGTTGCCGGCCAGGGAAGATTTTTCTCTAACAGATTTTTTAGCTTCCTGACGACTCTCAATAAGACCGGCCTCTTCGCTGCTTCGTTTCGCGTTATTTAATATCTCATCTCGTGCATTATTTTTAGTAAGCATGTCCATCAAATTGTTAAATTTATTTGCGTCGATTAACGCTAACCGCTTCACTTCTTCGCCCATTTTCTTTTTTATGCGTTTTCTTGATCAGCTCCAGTTGTCTAACAGCTTTCCGAATATGACCCAGAATGCGTAGATCTTCTACAAGCGTAAATTTTATATCTTTCTTTGGACAATCTTTACCGATAATATGTTCTAAAACAACGCGGTCACCATGATCTATTTTAATATCGAGTTTATTGTGATTAATTAACCGACACACGTGTAATAGATGTCGTGTGATAGTCGGAGAAATTTGTTGACTTCTTTCATCAAAATCTAATTTCATAAAATTAGAAACACAAGGTAGGAGACGATTTTCTTTCTTTTTCTTTTCAATTTGTTCTTGTAAATATAGCATCTGTTTAAAAAAACCTTGCATTACTTGATCATTTTCATCATCTCCATCATACGCATCATTTTCAAAATTGTGATAAAAATCGGAAATATTTTCATCTTCACCGGGTTGAATAGCTGTGTTTTCTTCAGCTACTTCTACTTCTACTTCCGGCTGATCGGTATTTTCATTTTCTAGGGTGTCTATATTCTCATCGACATTATCATCGACATTATCATCGACATCATCATCATCGGTGTCCGAATAACCCGTTAGGTTTGTGTTTAATATATCTTCGTTACAATCAGTATTTTCAGCCATATTTTGAAATTACACTATGGATGTGGACAGTCTGAATATTTACTCCTTTATCACTGATAACTACAGTGTGCGGTGGTCGAGGTCGACATACAAAAGCTTCTCGTTTTTTACGGGGACCGGGTTTTAACCCGGCGTCTTTTAGCTCGTGCAAAGGCATATTGCGAGAAATGACAAGACCCGTGTATGTGTACGGTGTTTTATTGGGGTTTACCAAACATTTTCTTTGCCCAGTATATTCCACCTTTTTGATTTTTTCGTCTTAACTTTCTGCGTTTTTTTCGCACGATTTTTTTACGTGCAAAAAATGACGTTATTGTCTTCGCCATAGTTTAACCCGAAATGCATACATTTATCGTTTTTTATTTTATTATATATTTTTTCTAACCCAATTTAAACACGCTATCATCAGTAAATAGATTCCAACCACCCTTTTGTAAGCGGCAGTTTAATTTTTTGGACGTGCCACCTTTTCGATTCCAAGCATTTCCCCCTTTTTGAACTCTCTTGGGTACAAATGCTTTTCGAAAATAATGTAAATTACCTTTTCCACCCTTTTGTTTAAATCGCCGACCGGTCGATTTTTTTTTACAACAACGTTTCTTCATAGTTGCGGCAAGCGACTAGTTCAAATTTACATTATACTTCGTATTTTAAACGTGCTTGTGACCCGTACCCAATACTCATTTGGTTTCTAAATTCCCCAATGCAGATTAGCTGTTGTGCTACGGTTGTGTCTTGGTTAAAATCAATTTTCAGACTCAAATTCCCGCTTGTTGAATTAGGCAAAACTTGGGAGTGACCGTCACGATTCGGGGATAAATCTGTAACAATCATACCCATATCGCTTACATATTCATCATATGTACATGGCATCTCACTATGACGTCGATCCAATACTTGACGTAAATTAATGTAAGCCTCTGCTGAATTTGTGATTACAGGGGGGATTTCGGCTTCATTGATGCTAACGGCAAAACGGGCGATATCGGGAAATGCACACTTATAAGGAGCCAATATATGCGAGCCGTTGTAACGGGTTTGGGAGATAATTTTTGTTATAAGACGTGTGGGGCGGGCACCATTGAAAATATCTTTATGTTGAATATGTCGACTATTCATCGGTAGGGGTAATGCAACATAACGATGTGTGATTTTATAATACCGACATTCTTCACCCTTTTGAATCATCAAATCATTAATGGCTCCCGATAATTGCCTGTTGGGTTTTAAAATTGGCATGGATAATTTTAAATCAGCCATTCTTAAATCCACCAATGCAGCCTGGGCGGCTGTTCCATAGATGACTTTTACTTTTTCTAATCTTGTTAAAACCACTTTGATATCAAATTATGTGGGTACATATCGTTTTACACGACCCAACAGATCCAATTTATCAACACAATTATGAATAACGCCCTGATTTATTTTCACATAACGTGCCCGTGCACCGAGATTTACACTGCCCGTAGCATCTGTAGAACGATGTAAATTGGTGGGGTCATCAGCAACATCTGCTGTGTCACGAATCATTAAATTAATTCCCGCATCATCTTTGTATTCCGAAGGAACGGTTGTTAGAAAATCATGAGTAAACTCAAGTTCATTTTCTTTACTGGATTGGGGAGTAATTAATTGATTATTTAAATACACAGCTTTGGTTTTCCAACCGTGACGTAACGGGGCGATGTTTACGGCGATGTTTCTATCAGCTGCCGGTGCAGCCCCCCCAACCGTAACAGCAAGTCGTAATTTTGCCGATAATTTTGTATCTTCCATATCTATCACACCATAATCTTGCCGATTATGCATGAAGGTATAAATTTCTGCATTTTCGGTAGGAGGGGTGGGTAGTAATTCAAGAGAACGTGTTTCTACAAATGTATCATTATGGGGGAAATTATCAAATAATGTCATAGGCCCCACAAAACCACTATCATGTTCTTCCATAGGCTCCGGCTCATCTTTTCTTGCTCGTTTCATCGTGACGGTGTTCAATGAACTAATGAAACTATTTTAAAAAACAGTTCCTTTTTAATAAAAATACACACACTGATTTTTTAAAATTTTTTTATTTAAGTCAAAATATAATATTTACAATAATAATCATTTAATAATAATCGTCATCGTAGTATCTTTGCGGTCGTCTACGACGACGTCGGGGTGGTGCTGCATCCATCCAAGCAGGGGATTGTCTATTCCCGCCTTGATTATTTACACTTGGTGTGGGTCTTCCCGCAGATTTTTTACCGAAAATACTACCCACAACGCTTGTACCGGTATTTAATAACATCGGTAATGCCATCCCCAGCGCTATTCCTGCAGCGGGGCCAAAACCACCTTTTTGTTTTTTTACTTTTCGTGCTTTTTTCTTTCTATACGCATTTCTTCGTTTACTACCCATAGATTAATTTTAAAATTTCCGGAGCTATAGCACCGGCACGGGGGGCTCTTTGTTGTTGTTGTTGCTTAGGAACTCGGGATTGTATTTTACCAACCTTTTGTATTTTAGGATCTGGCGCGTAATTCGGATTTAACTGCGGTGGTGGGCAAATTTTACCCGCGGCACGTTCTTCAACGGTTGACGCTTTACCCTGCAACATATACAATTGTGTCCCTTTATAACGGGCACCACCTCCTTTTAATAGCTTTACGTAGTCTGATTGCTGCATCGTGAATGATAATTTCATTTTAAATTTCCTCGTATATATTCAAAATAATGGATAATTTTGATCGGTTTAACACATTTGCAGCCAGTGCAAAACTATCCCCATCATACCCAGGTGTTCGTTCAAATATAAATTTCACATTCTCGTCTAAATCAGCAACATTTCGTACGGTCAATAAACAATTTGGAAGTGGTGCTTTTACCGTTGAATTTGATACAGGAATTATTATACTATTATTAGATATTTGTTCAAACCGTTCAAATAATAAATAACGTTTTAGGGTATAGCAATGTCGAACTGTCTTTCCACGCCATGTGGCATAATCTTTACCACCATAAAAAAACCCACCACCTGTGGCTGGGATTTCAGCACCTGTTAATTTGCTTGTAACATCCCATTTTCGAGCTACTGATAATTTATACCCGCCCAGTAAACCTGTCACATGTGCCACAGTATAATACATTAATTTATGTGACAATTGTGCTTTAACTTCCGAGCTGTATTCATATTTTACAGGTACAAGTTCTTTAGGACGATCGCTTTTTACTTCTAACTCGATCTTTAACATTTTTTTCTTATTCTACAACACACTCGATATTCACAGTCCCGCTGCTAAATGGTATTAGCGTATGCGTTGTATCGTAGATTGTAACTTTAAATTGATCAATTTTACTTTTGATTAATCTACGGCGTGTACTCGGCGGTGTATATGTACACAATGCCCCACTACCTCGGTCGCTACCGTTTAAGGGTATAATAGCCAACAAGGGTGCATATGTATCGCCAACAACAGACATTTCCAATTGTTCGCAATATACAAACATTTTATCAATACCATTGGAAATATCGGGGAGGGCTTTACCCATGAATGAACAAGCAAATTTATTATTTCCACGTGCATTTGCTTTATTCATAAAATTGTACCACGAAAGGGTATCACCAATACGGGTTGGAAAAAAATAAGATCCTTTAAGCAATTCCGCTTTTGTTTCTTCAACATCCGGATGAACCTTTAGTTCTCGCAAACTTAGCATATATTCCAACGATTCAGTAAACACCATCTGAAATTCATCACCCTCGTTGGTATTTTGGGAAAAAACTTCGAATATTTGATGGGGTGGTTTTGTTAAAATTCTTTTTACAGTTTCGTCAGAATGCCAATATTCACGTTCGATATTGTACGTCACACCAACACGGTTATTATTTAAAATTGTAAAATTCACATCATATTCGGCGACAAATGTGTTCAGGGTATCGAGAAGTTTCTGTAACGTGTAGGAACCCGGGGGTAAATACATCATGTCGGTCTTAAAATTAATCTCGATACCCGAATCAGACATCGTGGGAAAAAACATAAAAAGTTGTACACCACATTGCTCATTTTGCACATTTTCAATCGTTAAAGGATACGAGAAATTTAAAACTCTCATAAATAGCTCTTTATTTTCTGCATCTAATAATGTTGGCAAAGGCATCACAAACTCATTAGTATAATTCGTACCGCCGACATCGTTTCGTGCATTACTAACAATTTGAATATTCATACCGGTTGCAATTCACGACGATAAAATATTCCGCTGATTTCCTCACCCCGCAGATCTTCAAGCGAATACGTGACGGGATCGGAAATGTAGACCTTTTTAATACGAAAGGTTTCCTTTACCCAACGTCTTAAGCTTGATTTTTCAAAAACATTATTTTTAATTCGGGCGATACGTACATGTTGACCTTGCTTTAGTAGACGTACAGGTGTTGGATTACCATTTAATAATGTTTTTAATCTACGAAATGTGTCTGGTTTTTTACCCCGTTTATACACGTCAAAGGGTGTTAGATTATATATCCCTCTATGAGGTGCCTCATTATATCGCTCAATGATCAATTTCAGATTTTCAATATAACGATGACCTTGATCTAAGCCGGTCATTGATCGCATTATACTCTGCTTAATGGTCTCAATAAATCGTTCGGCATGTACGGCTTTCGTTTCCCGATTATAAGTGTGAAAAAGTGTGAAACCATATTTCTTACACAAATCCCTTTTAATCAACGCAAATTCTGTCCCCTCATCACTTTGAATTTTTAAAGGAATTTCTTTTTCTTTTATCAGTATATCTTCAAATTTATTCGCCACATTTCGAGCCGTTTTTGTCTTTAAGGGTCGTACAAACGCATAACGGGAATAAATATCAACACACACAAGCAAATAACGATATTGGTTATTAAATCTTGATAAATTATTCAAATCTGCTAAATCAATACTCCACTGTGCATTACGACTATATATATTAACAGGTAATCGTTTATATTTTGTAAATTTTCTACTATGTAACGTATACGCTTCTTTTTGTTTATCATTTAATCTCTCGTGTTTTAACAGACGTGATGTTTTTTTAATCAGTTCTTTACTTGTCTTCCCCATTTTTTACTAAAAAATTAATATAACATATGTTTGTCAATCATTTCACAATACATATCGTCTATGGTAGTTACATTGTCATCGTTTTTGATCACGACAAGATAGTCATACACATATTCTTCATTCATTTCCGATGTATATAGTAATACAGCTTCTTTGCAAGATTTAATTTTTTCACGATGCATCACAGCTATAATAAGCGATACGGCTTTACGATACTAAAAAAAAGGGAAATTAATAAAAAATTTGTGTAAAACTATCCATGGGCATACCGCTGGTTTCATGCAGCGTGCTTAAACGCACAACAGTGTCTAATACATTTTGTTTCAAATCATTATCCAATAGTACATCGAATTCACCTTTAGAATTGTAAAATTCTAGCGCCTCTTCATACGTAATACTTTCCCTTAGCATTTTTTTCAAGATCCCTTTAACAACACAGCTTACGCGGGATTGAAAATTCTGCGAAAGACCGTATAGTTTTATATTTTCATACCAATTATTAAAGTTTGTTACCTCTTCATCCACGGGATCTACAGTGCGTCTCTTTTTCGCCGGTTGTTTAGCCAGACCAGTTTTTGCGGGTTCTTTGCGTTTCTGGTTCTTTGCGGTGGTTAAATTTGCCGTGGAGGGTAATAATGTCGGCGTCATCATTGATTCGTCATCAACATCTTCCTGATGTTCAACTTTAAGGAGGAATTCGTTGATTTTCTTCCGATCTCCAATTTTCATTCTTTGAGAAGTAGGCTTTTGCCCATTGCTCTTCCCATTCCCATTCCTCTTCAACATCAACGACGGGTTGTGTTGTGGGGATATCGTCTTCCAGACCGTCGGGAACATCAGCCATGAGAACATCAGGGGGTCGTGTAGCTTGTAAACGCACGAGAACCAAACCGCGATACTCGCTATCTTTCAAGACGATACGGACCACATTTTTTTGATAATCTTCATATTCGTCGATAATGACGTAATGGCTACCGCCTTTCTTGCACGTCTTCAGAGATTCGTAAAAGGTGCGAAGCTGGTCGACCGTCATCAAAAATTTCATTTTATATAAATTCTTATCACCCGATTGCGTAGGTGATGCAGAAGCGATGCAACATTTCTCATTCCAACGTTCATACCATAACATTTTTTTTGTTTTGTTCTGGTACGCCCCCAATTCGGTAACATGTGAAGCATTTCGCTTCTCATACATTTCAACACCACCTACGGATATCTCTCGTTGGAGTTGCGCCATCTTTACAATGTGTATGAGAGATGTGATGTATGTTGAAGTTCTGCTACAGCATTTTATAGAGTACGATACCCAGTCCGGCAAGCAATGCGATCTTGGTCAAAAAATCTTTCGCAATTACACCCCTAATATGGTCACATATTTTATTATAAATATCTGTTATTCTATGCAAGAAAAAACATTTATTTTCAGACGATGAAAATACAAGATGACCATATAAGGTCACAAGTGTATAAGATGCAACAATTACTCGAAAATATCCTGAAATACCGGTAAAATCATCATCATGTGTTAAAACAGCCATTAAATCGCAACATTGTGTTTCCCGACACTCGCTTTGCAACAATAACTTTTGCATACGTGGCGAAAATATTTCTATATAACGGGTCAATTCCTCCTCAAATATTTCCTGTACATATTTACTTTTACATTCCACTAAACCACACCACGACGTTGTGGTATAACGCGCCATTTTAGAAAAACACACATACAGCACACATGCTTTACAAATAATGAGTGTATTTTTATAATGCATACAAATTATATAGATGTGCATATATAATAAGGGGTAAAACACTATCATCAATAAACATATTATTTATAAAAAAACGTGTTCGAATAGCGTTAATATTACGTGCATAACACACGGGTTTAAAAATATGTGGTAAAAAACAAATATAAGATATAAATCGTTGAATTCTACCCATTCCGTGACCGCCACCTAGCCTGAGAACAAGTCTGCCGTTAACAGTATAATGTTCCGTCTCTTCGTTATTACGCCATTGTAAGATAAGTACTAGATTATAATCGGTAAATGTTCGCCGCGTAATATCGGCTTTTAATACAAAGTTAACAGGGTATAAAATATCCATATGTAAAACTGTAAATGTGTATTTATATAATTTGTATTTTTTTTCCTTTTGTTTTTCAAAAAATAACATCTTTCTTCTTTTTTCATAATTCATTCTTTCAGCCTAAAGGTAAGAGATGATGTTGTCCGTCATAAAGGGTTAGCCGTCTAGATGCTGCAACTTTTGACATGATATCATATAACCGCGTAGCAATATAGATCTTGTCAGGAAAATATGTCTGAAGTATATGTTGTTTTAACATCACACCCTTTAAACCCTTCGCCATACCCTTTCTCAGCAGATCATACAATCTTTTTAAAGCGGCAACATGACATGTTGAATATAAAACATAATCGCCAGTTAAACGTTGTGTGGCCACGTTTCTTTCGGGTAGTAATGAAAATTTACGACGTATATGACCCCCGGGAAAACCGATATAGAATGCATAGTCATCGCCACCAACATGAACACAATCATAATAAAAATCTGTATCTTTAATAACATCTTCATATAAAACACCGATCCATCTGTATTTAGCCATAACCCCAATCGTATTGTTTACGATATTTTAAATTTGTTAAATTTTGACTATAATTATAATTTGAATAAGGTATTGAATTAAGTGCGTACCAGATTAGATCGTCTTTGAACCAGATACCAAAATTTCTAATCAAATAATAGTCAAGTTCCGTTTGACAATAATCCAACGTATTCTTGTAATGTAAAAATGTAAAATTACACTGTTTAAAAAACTCTTCCAGCTTATGTTTTAAAGCGCGGTCTTCGAAACTACCGGCCAACGACCAACCAACTACTGTGATAGTAAATTTTGAAGAATCTAATTCTTTTTTTATAATACGTTGTACATATATCCCGCGAGAGAAATACTCCACTTTAAAACGTACATAATCAGTAGTACATTCTAATAATTTTAAAAAACATAAATTCACCGGATAGATTTGATCATTGCACAAGAGTCGTCGACGATTCATTGTTTTGAAACAAAATAAAAAATCATTCCCTTTTCAAATAAACCCTTCAAAACCATATTTGGGCATTACGAATAAAATTGTAAAAAAATTAATGGGTCGAGCTAATAAAACGTCTATATAAAGCAACATTTTATTTACCGTCGAGTAGCAATGAGGATAGCAATACCTAGATGAAAGAATGTTCTGTGCTGTATAAAATATTTTTCACCTTATTTTTTAATCGGCCTGCTTTTTTAGCGGCCGGCAAAAAAACTATAACAAAAAACAAAAACTATAAGTACACGGTCTTTTTATAAAAACAATCATTCGTTTACGAAAGCTATTAAGATGGTAAACACTAGACACAGAAGAGGCCGTCGCGCATATCAATATGGTGGGAATTTTAAGGGATCGAAATATCAACGCGGGAAACCTAGCCGAAAACAAGACGGTGGTTTCTTAAGTAGTTTATTTGGTGGGGGGAAATCAAAATCAAAACCCATGAATATAAATGTAAATCAAAGACAGGGCAACCAGGGTAATCAATCGCGTCGTTCATACCAAACTCGACCACAATATCAACCCTATCCATACTGCAGACCACCACCACCACATTATTACGGGGCTGCACCGCCACCCCGCAGACGTAGAGGTAGGAGATAGGGTGGTGTTTTTTTTATAAAAAACCGAACACAAAAACCAAACAATCACTTCTATTCTATGTAGAAAACGATGGAAAAAAAACAAAACAACAAGGTGGTAATTTCTGGATGTTATTTTTGTAAAAATACAATAACTATGAAATAAAATCTACTCACAAAATAAAACGTTTTCACATTTTGATATATGTCTGCATATATAACATAATTTCTTTTTTTCTAATATGTATTTGATTACAGGTCTAAAATGACATATTCGCGGAGGGTATAATGTCAAAGGTTTTTGTTTATTTATAAGCCATGTATGTATGTAGGTTAAAGAATCCATTTCGTGAAAA